AAGAGCAGAGAAGCAGTGAACACTTAGTGTGTCCTTATGATAGAAAATCAGGTATACGAATTTCAGTGATATGTGAGGCTTATGAGAGCAAAGCTCTTTGACATTTTTTCATTCACAGAAACATTGAGTATAAAGGCCTAGACCCGAATCAAGTATCTCTCTGTATCCAAGTCCTTAACTGGTTTCCCACATAATATTCCATTTCCCTTTATTCATTCAACAAACATTTGAGTATGTAAAAACTGTTTCTAGCTGGGTGTGGTGGCTCACGCCTGTAATCCTCACACTCTGGGAGGCTGAGGCAGGCAGCTCGTTTGAGCTCAGGAGTTCAAGAGCAGCCTGAGCAAGAGCGAGACCCCGTCTCTACTAAAAAAATAGAAAGAAATTAATTGGTCAAATAAAATATATATATAAAAAATTTAGCCGGGCATGGTGGCGCATGCCTGTAGTCCCAGCTACGCGGGAGGCTGAGGCAGGAGGATCGCTTGAGCCCAGGAGTTTGAGATTGCTATGAGCTAGGCTGATGCCACGGCACTCTAGCACAGGCAACAGAGTGAGACTGTCTCAAAAACAAACAAACAAACAAAAACAACAAAAAACCTGTTTCTAGGTGCTAGGGATGCAATGCAATAATTAGAGCTCCAAGGAAGTTACAGTGAGAATGGAAAAGAGCTAGACAAGCCATGAACCAGAAGTGCTTAATGGAAAAGAAACAACTGTTGAACACAGGCAGGAATAACCTTCAAGGGTTTTAGAGGTTATATATGATATACATTTTTAAGAAATCACCGTGGCTGCTACACTAAGAATGGAAGCAGGGGGTGGGAGGAGGTTGCATAACGTGTACAAGGGAGCAGGAGCGGAAAGTGATGTTAGGAGTTACAGCAGTTGTCCGGGTAGGGAACATCAGTGGTTTGGGATATGGTGCCAGCAGTGGAGAGAAACGGACAGACAAATCCAGTATATTTTGGTGCATGTTGGTCACTGCCTCCTAACAGGAGGAACTAAGGATGATTCCAAGGTTGGTTTGAGTACCTGAGTGGGTGAATGCATGGTGGTATAATTTACCAAGTTGAAAGAAAGGAGGGAAGAACAAGTTTAAGGGAGAAAAATCAAGTTCCTGTATATGCCATGTTCTCCAACCAAACTTCCTTATTGAGATCTCATGTTTCCAACTCATTGCCTTTTTGAAAATAACATTCCCTCTATCTAAAATGCTCTTCTTCCTCCCCCCCACCCCTACAGCAACCCATCTCTCAAAGTTCTAACTCTTCCCTGATCTACCACTCATTCTATTTATACTGTAAGTTGAGTAATTCATTCCTCTAGACTTCCTAGAACTCTATTTCTTCCTCTCTTAAAGAATGTAGTATTTTCTACCTTGCATTAAATTATATACATAGAGTAAGTCTTCACTTGATGTTGTTCATAGGTTCTTGGAATCTGCATTTTTAAGTGAAATGATGTAAAACAAAACCAATTTCATAGTAGGTTCATTGATATAAGCAAGAGTTAAATTCCTATGGCATATTTCTGGTCTCTAAAACATCAAGAAACCTCTAAATGGTCAAAACTTTTCTAATATTAAAAACATTGAAATAAATGTGAGCTATACATACATTTAAGAAAGATTAATAAAGCAGAGCTTGGTGCCTCACGCCTGTAATCCCAGCACTCTGGGAGGCCGAGGTGGGCAGATTGCTTGAGGTCAGGAGTTCGAAACCAGCCTCACCAAGAGCGAGACCCTGTCTCTACTAAAAATAGGAAGAAATTAGCTGGACAACTAAAAATATATAGAAAAAATTAGCCGAGCATGGTGGTGCTTGCCTGTAGTCCCAGCTACTCGGGAGCCTGAGGCAGAATGGTTGCTTGGGCCCAGGAGTTTGAGGTTGCTGTGAGCAAGGCTGATGCCACGGCACTCTAGCCTGGGCAATAGAGTGAGACTGTCTCAAAAAAAAAAAAAATCAATAAAAACAAGATAATTGTTTACCCAATTATTCCAGTTCGGGGGCGCAGGTGGCAGTTGGCCAGAGCCTGCCCAGACAGCTCAGGGCACACCCTCACACTCATTCAGACTGGGACAATTTAGACATGCCAGTTAACCTAATATGCACATCTGTGGGATAGGAGAAGAAACTGAAGTACCCAGGAAAAACCCCAAGCAGATATGGGGAGAACTTGCAAACTCCACACATTGTCCCCAGCCGGAAACTGATTTTTTTTTCTCATTGTTATAACAAAACCCTGTTGAACAAAATGTTATTTGAGGACCTGCTGTATATATATTCCATTTCTCAGCATGTAAGCTGTTTGTCTCATTCATCTTTCTATACCCAATACTACGGTACTACAGTGTTTTAAACATGAGATGGAAAAGACAATTTGTAAATGTTTAAGTACAAAGCCTTTACAAATAAAAAGGTTAAGACTGCTAGCATACCATTAACATGTTATTTAAATTAAAACAAAACCTAACACTACAATAGTCAACTTCTGTATATAGTAGCTGAAATCTAAAGGGATCAACTTCATAAAAAGTATACTGAAAAATATAACAAATAAGACAAAACTGCAAATTACATTAATAGAAATTAGGTAGATCAGTTTATTTTTTGTATATTTCACAAGTATAATTTTGGAAGGGCTATTTGACAAATTTCAGCATTAACTGCCAACTCTATAGACATGTTTAACAAAAAAGGCATTTACTCTTGGCCCTTTTAAATACAGGCAAAGTGCCCTCTTGCATCACAAATCCTGGAGATGCAATAACAGACTTAAGGGTATAATATTAAAGAAATGAGATGTTTTCTTCCAACTGCTATTTAATTGATAAATAACATAATACAAACATACATTGATAGCTATCATGACCACCAGTGATTTGCAGAATAAACCTTATAGGCCTACCTACTTAAAAGGCTGAAATTAGTAAAGCAGTATAAAATGTGTTTTTATCCTTAGATTAATAACAGAGTAAGACTTCTTTGATCCCAATCTTACAAGTTGTGGTGCGGAATCGGTAAGAGAAAAGAGATGGGGGAAGACTGGCAGTGCATGCTGAGTTAGAATTGGAACAGTGGCTCAAATGAGTAATTATCCAGATTAAGACAGTGTTTTAAAAAATCAAAAATGTGTCCTAAATTGTGGCATATTGGAAAAGATATTAAAAATCAATCATTCATCAGTCCTAAACACCATTTAATAAGTGCCATCAGTGGGCTTAAGGAATAAGTAGGGATGGGGGGGGGTGACAAAAAGCAAGATGAAGGAAAGAAAATGAAAAGTAGAATATGTTTGTTTGGGAATATGAAAAGGCCCTGGAGAAACTGCTTTGGTTACCACTCAGACATGCTCTTCCGATGGGTTATCTGCTCATGATCACCAGATACCAATTTTAGAGCACAATTTGAGTAGATATAATAGTCCTCCCTTATGCGTAGTTTCACTTCCCATGGTTTGTTATGTATAGCAGCCTCGGTCTGAAAATACTCCATGGAAAATTCTGGAAATAAACAATTTATAAGTTTTAAATTGCATCCTGTTCTGAGTAGCATGATGAAATCTTGTGTCATCCTGCTCTGTGCCATTCAAGACATGAATCATCACTTTGGTGTATCCAGATTATGGTACCTGCCCATTAGTAACTCAGTAGCCATCTTGGTTGTCAGATAGAAAAAAACATACTACATAAAGAGTCCAGTACTATCTGAGGTTTTAGGCATCAGAGGTCTTGGAACGTATCTTTCTCAGATAAAGGGAGACTACTGTATTACATTTCAGTTTTGATAAAACTTCACTAAACTAATTTGGACTGAGAAAGAATACAAGTCTGATTTAGTAAAAAGCATCCGTAAATATTCAGAGGTATAGTTTTGTTTCATCAAGTAAAAAGAGCAACCAATTCCAACTGTTGAAGTAGTAACAAGTAGAGCCTTTACCAGGCTTGCCTTGATGAATAGTTAAGACATATTTCTGGGTCACAGCACAAGATTATTGAACTTGTAGACTATACACCATGCTCCTTCCAATTTATCAAAACAATCCAACAATCTTTACTATTCCAACTTACCAATAACTATAATTGTTTTAGTGAGATGCTGCCTTGAAAAACGAACTATTTCTCAAAACTGTACTATGAAAAGTAGGAGCTACTGGACATAAAACAGGTCATTTATTTCAGACTTTAGCCAGTTTTCATGAAGTATTTATCTCCAACTTAAGTTTACTCCAACATTAATTTGTGATAAACAGGACAATGATTAAAATTAGCCATTTCTCAAACCACAACTTTGAAATCATAGAAATGGACACTTAAACTCAGCTAGTCAAAATCTTCATTCAAGTGAGGATCAAACAGCCTTCAAAAATGTTTTCAAATAAACTGAGCTTTGAGGCAGAACAAAAAAATAGAAAAATCTAAAACTTCTCTATCTCAAGCACCAATAATGGAGGTCAAGCAATTAGACCTACAAATCCTTAATGACAGGTCTTTCCTAATGAAAAATCCTGAGACTTAAGCACTGTGACTTTACAGAAGGCAGGTTGGTTTAATGAGGAAATTTACTTTTAATAAAAAGACAATCAACAATATTTTATTTTGGGCACTTACTCAACATTTCACAGATCCTCAATAAGTTTTGAGGTAGGTCAAATACTAGCAGTATATTTTACAAACTAAAATCAAGCAGATGTTATGTCACTTGTCCCAAACCACAGAAGTCATCCTATCATGGTCAGGAATAACATGGTCTCTCTGATCTTTCAGATTAATCTTTGATGTGTGAATTTAATGGTGATTGCTTACAAATATTCATGAAGAAACACAAGATGAGATCTAACAGAAATTCTACTTTGGGATATTTTAAAATTCTTAAATTGATCCTATAATGAGCATATATATTGTGGAATAACCTACTTGCTCTCATTACAAATACATTTATATATAACTGATCCTTAAAATTACAAATGAACACAGTACTGATTTTGCTGCTTTTCTGCCTTTTGGGGTGGGTAGAGCAGGAAAATAATTAGCAAGCTTTCCTCAGAGCACTAGGCAGCCTTTAAGTGCAGATGCTATGTTCAAGGCACCATCCACTATGATTTGGGATCATAGGAAAGCAAGTATACAAATGGAACCAAGATCCAGAAAAGATGCCTGGACCCAAAAGAGGGGAGGCTCTGTGCAAGTCAAAGATGAAGAGAAAAATAGTATCAGCTCAGGCTACTGATCCTGATTATCATGCCACGGCATTACAACAATTTACAGAAAGAGCTCCTAAAAGAGCAGTAAGCTTGTCCCAATAAAATCTGCTAAAGTTCTTACTAACTAAACTACAAGTAAAATTAAATTGGTATTTTATTAAAGTAACGTCTTTGGAAGCAAATATCTAAATATTTTAAATATGAGTTTGACCTGTTATGTAAATTACTCTAATCGTCACAAAACTAATTCACTTAGCTCATCATAATTACTTAAAATTATTTACCAAAATTCCGCTCATCTTGACATAGGTTCCTGGGCCAGTCTTCTCAACTATTTGTTTCATTATAAAATTTATTTTGTCAAATATTAGTAATACTAAAGGATTAAGAGTGGTTAATTAACAACTGAGAAATTAGAAGGAAAACACCATCATTGTGTTATAAAATACAGCAGTCAGCAGAGCAAATTTTAAGAGTAAGGACATAGACACCTATCCTATGCTTCCATATAACCAAACAGCTCAATACCATTTGAATCAAAAAAGCACCAAAACAAAACAAAAAAAAGTGGGGGTAGGGGATGGGTGTTGGTGCACAGAAGGCAGACTATTGAAGCCTTTTACTCTAGTGTCTCCAAAATTGAGTGTGGAAGTAAAAAGTTTCTACATTAAAAAAGTTTATATAAATTAAATGAATTATTTTCATAAAAGTCAAAATGAAAGTTATGCATAGGACAAAAGATATGCCTCAGCAACATATTATATTTGCACAAGGCCACTGAATGTCATGGATACTGGTAACAAATGAAAAGCTTAAGTCTATGGCAGACGGAACAAAGATTTCAGTTTGGTATTCTATAAGCCTGAAATTGTAAACTACTCTTATTATACAAAAGATGTAATGACATACAGAGTTTTGTGTAGAAACTCTTGTGCTTCTGGTTGGCACATTTCCTTTTTTTTTTAATGGCCCATGTGATAGTATACATTTAGTTGTTAATATGTGAAATTAATACAGACATTTGTGAGAGGTTGTGCAAAACTATTGTATTTACAAAAATGGCACAAAAGTGAATTCAACAGTCGATGCACATGCACACTTCATTCACATCTTCAACAACAAAAGGCATTCTAAAACTACAGAACTGAATAAGAATACTAGCTTCACTAGGAGCTGTTAAGCACTAGAGTCACATAAATTACACCAAGAAGGCAAATATTGCCCAAGTAAAATTCTACTGTTAAAGCTGAAACAGGTTTAAGGCCATTCAAGTTCAAGCACAGAGATACAAATCTTTCAGAGCCCCATCTATTTGTGTTTGAAATATGTGACCTTCTTCCAACTTGTGGTCTTAAACATCTGTTTTACAAAATCCAAAAGAAAAATACAGAAGAAATCAATACAATAGAAGTTATATTAAATAAGAGTAACATACAGAGCTATAATTAAGATGAAGTAATGAAAGCCAAAACATTAAAACTTTAAAACTTGCTTGTTACTTGTTGGAACCAGCCCTATACTAGGAGTTAGGTAATATATACAATTATTTTCAAGTAGATTACTTATGTAGCTCTAACATGTTCTTTTCATCAGTGCACTGTCAAACTAATCAAAAACTCTACACATGTATATTCCCTTAACAAAATAGCAGCACGCACTACTGCTACCTGCAAAGCTGTCAGTCTCAAATGACTTAGTGAAAGTAAATAAAAAAAGGATAAGTAACATATTAAGGAGAAATAATGGGAATTAGAAGATTCATGCAGTTCAGCTCTTTTAATCAGCCAGCCAGCTTGCTAGCAACAAGGGATGGTTTCCGTTGAGGAAGGTCTTGTGGAGTGGGAATGTGGTCACCAGTGACCTCCGTCTTATCCGGGGCTGCAGCAGGAAGTTGCTTGTTCTTCATTTTTGCTTTAGCCATGTTGTAATCCCCAGAATCAAAATATTTTTGCTACAAGGAGAAAAAAAAGAATCCAGATTAGAGTTTAAAAGCTTTCATATGTAACTATACTGATTTAACATGTAGCTGTGACTCTGTACTGTCAGCATAAAATAGGTTGTTCTAAAAAATTTAAACAGGAATATTAATTAGATGAAATAGCTATGGCTCTGTATAGAGTTCCTGCATAAGTCAACAATTGAGAAGTCAGGCAAAAACTTCCTCTTCAGACTTTTTTAGAATCAAAAGTCCTGGACTCAAAGTAAAATAAATTTACCTTTGATTTATTAACAGAACCACCCGGGACAAACTGTTGCTTAAATAAATAAAACACATAATTAATTGACACATAATTCATTTAGAATGTGCCACCCAAATCCAATCAAACTTAGGTATTAAAACTATTATTTATAGTTGCTAGTACTCTCATCTAAGATGAGCTTTTCTACAATAATTTAAATCATATTTATTTGAACTGCGTAATTCACTAAAATCAAAATTAAGGTAAAAATATAAATGTTAGAGTAATGGAAGAAAGCTCAGTAAAAATTAGTTATCACTTAAGACACTGAATAAGTACAACTGTTGTTCTTTTCAGTTGGCCTTTATCACTAAAATATAAATTGTGATGAGAACTAACGAGCGACATTAGTCTAACTAATCTACTTGAGTTCTACAGTTGAAAACAGATGAATATGCCTGGGTTCTCACTTACACATATTGTGCTGAGCCCACCTTTACTGAGTGCCTGCTATATGCTCTCCATAAGTCACCGTGTAAGAGCTGGACACAGATACAAAGATGGACAACAGTCAAGTAAAGCCACTATTATAACACTATCTTAAGTAGACAAGGTGCTATAAAGCAGGGGAATTTAACTTCAGTCGCGGGTTGACAAAAGGAAATAAACCAGGTATGAAATGTGGGCCCTCACAAAGGGGAAAAAAAAAATATATATATATATATACATACATATATTTTTTTTTCTTAGACTTCAGGGATAACCTCCTGGGATAAAATGAAATAGCTGGGAACTTAGTATAAGACTACTGACTGGACTTGGGAAAAGGTCTCATCAGCTGCCTCCCTCCAGGGACTATTCTTTGATAAGCCAGATCTGGCCTATGGTCAAAGGGTCTAAAGTTAGAAACTGCTTTTCTTGTGTCGCTACACACGTACCATACAGATTAGGAAAAGGGAACTTGGACCAGGCCCTTCTCAGGCTTGCTGCAGCTTCACTTCTGCATGTTTTAAAATGAGCAGAGAGAAAGAAATTCAGAATTTTTCATGTACTATAATTAAAGAACTGCTTCTGGCCAGGTGTGGTAGCTCATGCCTACAATCACAGCACTTTGGGAGGCGAAAGTGGGATGATTGCTTGAGGCCAGGAGTTCAAGACCAACTGGGCCACATAGCAAAACCTCATGTCTACAAAAATAAATTAGCCAGGCATGGCTGCTCGAACCTGTAGTCCTAGCTACTCAGGAGGCTCACAGGGAGATCGCCTGAGCCCATGGTGAGCTATGATGGCAACACCGCACTGCACTCTGGGTCTGAGTAGCAGTAAGACCATAGCAAAAACAAAAACCAAAACCTGCTCTGCTTCTGAGTTCAGTAGCCTCTGGAGAACAGAGTAGCCTATTAAATTTCTTATTTTGTCAAAATCTTATTTTGTCTAAATTTTGTGAGTTTTAAATGAAACGATTTAAAAATTAACAAAACAAATTCTGGATGATCTGGATGAGAATCTTATAAAAGCCTCCTCCCACCCAAATTTATAGGCCATAATTATATCTGTACTGCACTGACCCTAAGCCATCACCTAAAGTGACAATGTTTAACTTTAAAGCCGTGTTTCTTAAAACTGGACCCCCTGTTTTCTTTGGACTTCACAAAGTCCACAAATATGTAAAAACATGGGCTAGGTTGCTTCTTGATATCCCTCCCAGCTCTGACAGTCTATGTAGCCACCATTAAAAGCTAATAATAACAATATATAATATTAACCTCCCAATAACATTAATGAGTACAACAACACAGAAAGGGACCCAATATAATAATAATGTCAAATCTAATCGCTAAAAGTGAAGAATAAACTGTTTAAATATGCCAAGGTAACTTGTCAAGCTTACTAACTAGTGACACAGAAAAACTAAAACCCAGAAGCCCATTACCCAGACTTTTAAAAAAAAAAACAAAACCAAAACTTAATTTACCTAATATTAAAGAATTTATTCATTGACATTCTGGTACTATACATAATCATTCAAGAGTTCATGTCTCAAATTCTATATAATTATTGTTTCAACTGGTATGTTCTTCATTCTCAATTATTTACATCTGTAACACCAACTTCAAAATACAATGTGTATAAATTCTGACTTGACGACACTTAAAAAGTCACAAATAGTTGAAAGCTAAAGGAAAATTACAATAGCCCCAATATTGAAAGGAAGCCCATTAGCCTAAATTATGCTGGAGATTAGCAAAGGAAACATTTCCTAAACACATAATCAATCAAATCCCAAACCCAATTGAACAAAGATTATATAACAGTCAAGATTATATAATTTATTTCATAACTAAAAAGAAACCTGATGGGATTGTTTTATAATTAGACTTGGTATATGTACATTCCACATAGCTAGATGCATAATGAACATAGTTCTCATCCTATTTTTCTATTTATTCCCTATATTATGATCTTTATAATTATGTTTTAATACTCTATTTTGTTGACTTACTGTAATCTATTTAACCATTTTTCTGCTGCTGGATAGTGGAGATGCTTCTATTTATAGTTAAAGCAACAAGGAATATCTTCAAACCTGAAGATTTTTTCCTTATATTGCAGTATACCTTTAGATTAATTCATAAGAGATTATTCATTCAAAGACCAGAAACACTTTTATAAATCTTGATCCATATCTCTTTCCAAAATGACAATATTAATTTTAAGGTTTTAAACATAATAAAGAGCATATTAGTTTCACTCAACTTCAACCTTACCAATAGGCATTAAATATTTTTCCAAATTGTCATATGTACACTATGATATAATTTACATTTCATTGATTTCTATCCTCTCTGTGTTTAGTAATTATATTTCTTCTATTTTATCCAGGGACATTTTAATGTTTTTCTTTTATATTTTAAAATTCCCTTTTATATATTATAGATATTAACTACCATTTTTGTAATAATTTCCCAACTTGATTATGTTTCATGAATAGGGTTTTTACATTTTTATAAATTTGATATAATTTCCCCTCATCATCCTATTATTTCAAAGCTGTGAATGTTATTCTTTCATGTAAGATTAAAAATACATTCTATTTTTTCCCACTTTAAAATCTGTTAAAATATTTGTTAAAATATTCTTTTGGAATTTGGTTTATTTGGGAAAACAATCTATATACAACTATAACTAAAATATACACACAAAGACACATTTTTGTAAGCAAGCAGCAAGCACCAGCATATTTAAGTATTTAAGGAGAAACATGATTTGGCATCTTAGTCAATAAACAATTCTCCTCCATAAATAATATTTCATCCTTCCCTGTATGGTAAATTTAAATATGCTTAAGCGAAAGCTGAATCTAATTTTTTACAGAAAAAAATTATTCTAGAAGGGGTCAGAAGGGAAAATTTAAGGAACAAACAGGCAGCATTATTTCAATTCAGATCTCATTATTGAGAAATGATGGTATCTACATTATAAGGCACAGCAAGATTCTGAAAAAAATGTTTTCAGTAATTTGCACTACTAAAACTACAACATATAAATTGTATAAGAGTATCTACTGTGAAACATATTACATAAAGGGGATTGTAAGCCATGCTTTTATAAGTGAGCACTTCATCCAAATAAAATGCATTTTAAATCTTTAAATGTTATGTGGGAATAACCTTTAATATAGGTAAAATTTAACAAGAGCAAAAGGATAAATATCACCTTCAGGATAGTGATTGCTTTTTAGAGATGGAGGGAAGAAATACACATAGGATAGGTAAGCTTGAACTATATCTGCAACATTTTACAAAGATAAAACTGAAGTAAACATGGCAAAACATTAACATTACATCTGGGTGGTGTATTCATGGGTTCTGTTATACTTTTATTTGCATTATTTTACACACTTGAAATAGTTTATAATTTAAAAAATGTTAAAGAGCTATAGATTCTTATGCATATTTATAGAATAAACAGTGTAAAATATTGGGGGAAAAAATCATACACACACACCTGATAAGGCATAAAACTACACAGCACTCATTTCACAATCTCTGGAATACACTGAGTTCATAGGTATTAAGCATTTGAAGATTATACATGAGAACTTACCCCTTTCTGTAATCTTTTCCTTAAGAAATCAGAACCTCCAGGCTTTTGTCCCAGATGAGGATATCTTGCTTTTAATTTTGCCTCTTCAGCTTTCTCTGGACTGGTCACTTTATCTTCCATTTCCTGAAATAATTTCAAATAAATTACTTCTCTGTTATAACTTAGCTATTTAAAATAATTCACCTTTTAATATCTGGATTCTGATTTTAGTCGTTGAATGCCAAGTAATACAGCGTCTGACTAAGAAATCAAGCACAGAAGCCTTTAAAACATCTCTATCTTGTTTTTCAGATGATCCATGTGATAGCTCTATTATAGCTGTGATGCATGTGTAACACCCCACACACCAGATAAAAATATCAAGATAGCTCAGCTCTGAAGTCTTGCTTGCCATTTCTTTCCAGTCATGTATAATACATTTATAGTTAGTCACCTTCTATGGAACTCTTCAGTTCTTTGCCTATATTTAGAGAACTATCCTAATACTGTTAAAAGATAAAAGATCTTTTTGATCTATTTATTCCAAAATTATATGATTTGAAGCTTCTTAGATTCCTTACTAGAAATTAACAGCTTACCTTCTCATGTCTCAAGAAAAAAGAAAAAAAAATTTAACAACAGCCTACTTATCAGCACATTTTCCTTGAATAAATTAACACAAATGACTCTGATGTTTGTAAAGGAGAGAAACATCTTACCAATCTTTACATTTGTGTATATTATTGCCTAATTTCCTCCATGTTTAAAATGATAAACTCTGTTCATGTCAAAGATCTCATTGTTTTATTTATATATATTTATACACACACACATACATATAGTTTTCTTTTAAGAGACAGGGTCTTGCTCTGCTCTGATTACCCAGTGGTACAATCATAGCTCACTGCAACCTTGAACTCCTGGGCTCAAAAGAAGATACTATTTTTTAATGTACCAAAAACCTGCTTTCTGACAAGATAGCCAATTTCTTCAGCCTATTCATTTTTAACATCAGTCTTAATTTAGTTTACCTTTTTTCAAACTGTGACATTTCAGAAAGAAGTAGTGTTTTATCACTTCATGGCAAAAGGAGACAAATGAATCGAGAAAAACAAAGCTGTCCTGAGATGGGTAGCCTGGGAAGCTGACAAGGCACATTTTCTAGCTAATGTACTCATTTCTGCACACCAGATTGGCAAATTAAGTCATTAAATATGAAATGTCCAATTTCAAATCAAAAGTGTTTATTGTATCTCAAACAAGAAGCAGTACAATTAATCAAAGATAAAGATTGTGCCTAACTATAAGCAGTTTTGTCATCTTAATGGTAGCTTGTTTATGCCAGCAGCAAAGAAGCCTGGAGGGCGAGTGGTGATGAAATCTCGAAAGGCATTTTCCACAGCTTGTTGAGAATTGAATATTTTTCCTTGCAAGAAGTGGTCCAAAGCTTGGAAGAAGTGGTAGTCAGCTGGTGCAAGGTCTGGTGAATACGGTGGATGACAGAAAGTTTCTAAGCCAGCCTCTAGTTTGAGTGGTGTTGTTTGTGAGACATGTGGTGGAACATTGTCTGGCAAGAGGACTGGACTTTCTCTGACCAATCTTGGCTGCTTAATCAAAAGAATTCTCATCTTTTCATCCAATGGGGTGCAAGAGACATCCACTATAATTGACTGACCAGGTTTCACGAAGCTGTAGTAGATAATACCAGCAATGGACCACCACACAAACACCATTACTTTTTGTTAATGAATATTCAGTTTTAGACTGTGTTTGTGCACTTCATCTTTATCCAACCATTGTGTCAAATGCTTGCCATTGTCAAAAAGAATCCATTTTTAATCACATGTAACAATACAATACAGGAATGGTTCACTTTTATGTCATGACAGCAAATAAACACAAATTTTGAAATGATTTCTCCTCTGACTCTTGTTACGTTCATGAGGTACCTGTCTATCTAGCTTCTTTACCTTGTCCATTTGTTTCAAATGGTCCAATACTTGCTGCTAATTCACACATAGGTTGAGATGGATTCATTTCCACTACAGCTTTCAACTTATCATTATCCACGTTGGTCTCAGGTCACCCATGTGGCTCCTTTTCAAGATTAAAATCACCAGAACAGAACTTCTCAAACCACTGACATACTGTGCCGTTCATTAGCCACATCCTTCCCAAACACTCGGTTGATGTTTTGAGCTGTCTGTGCAGTGCTGGTTCCACAATGGAAGTCATATTCGAAATAACAAGAATTTTTGACTTATCCATCATTTCATAAAAATTGCTCTAAAAAAAACTTTGAAAGATAATCACAAGCCAAAATGTGCATTTGAAAGACTGAGGATATACCTTTACAATAAACATAAAACCAGAAGTGTGAAAGTGAAATGTCAGAGATATCAACTGTCAGCGTTAGTACTTAAGGGACTCAGACATTTCTTACTTAAAAACCTAATACCCACTGAGTATCTTGATTCTTCCAGGTTATTTATGAATAGTCAAAAAGCAGGAATGTTAAATTCATAAATGTTAAACTTACTGTTTCTTATGTATCAAGTAAATCATTTATCTTTCTAGGAACTGGAAAAAACTTCACAAAATTTTTGCATATATTTTACTCAAAATTTTATGTTTTACAGTCAGTTTTATTTACTTTATATATTGCTGATACTTCATCTTGAACAGCTTCTTCACATGTTATAACATTTTCTTATTTCCAGTCTTGGAGGACTTTGAAAAAAAAGCTGCTGCTGTCATATATACTTTGTTTTCTATGGGGCCTCTATACATATGCTCCTTTTCTGCTTCCTGTGTTCTACTTTCCTCTTCACACTGCTGTTTTGTTAGGTAGACAGTGAGTGATTCCAGGTCTCCTAGGGACAAAAGTGGGTGCTGTTGCTTTGGTGCAATTGCCTCAACTTGGTCCTGCCCCACCCTAATTTCCTGAGTAGCTGCCATACCTGGGGAAGAAAGAGGGAATACCCTACCAATCTGCCAGTCAACTTAGTGTGCCCACTGGAAAAGAATGCAGAGGACTCTCTAGCCCACAGGCCAACCAACATAGGTACCAGAGAGTCCGAAAATTGACCTGTTACCCACATGAGTAGTAATGCAACTTGCAACTGTCCAAAGTGGTTCCATGGTGACGTATGAGCCACTAGGGAGGTCCTCATCCAGGTGCTATAAACCAAGATACAGACCATAACCAAGTCACTTTTTGCAACCTTCCTTTTGGCCTCTCTTTGCTGCGATAATGGGCCGATCATTGTCTGTGGTGTGTGAATGACACTCTGTAAACCTATATCTTGATCTTGCTCTATAATCCTATCTTTTTCTCTTTAATAAACTTCATTTTTGTGCTTGTCTTACTGTGGTATGTCTGGTCATTCTTCGGCCACGAGTGCACTAATAACTGACATTTCAGACTAAAACCTGTTTCAAAACACCTATGTTGACTTGCAGTCTCTTTATAGTGGTCACATCATTCACTCACTTGACCAAAATTCAACCATGCGTGCTTAGCCAGAAAAAGAATTTAAATGGTAGGGATGACTCTGCCAGTCATTCCACTTAAGAAGGGTATGCCTGAGAGAGAGGTCAAGTATGAGGTATATGTGCAATTCTGCCATCCCCACATTAATCTCTATCCTTGGGTATCTTATCATTTATTTAGCTAAGTGGTTTCTATGCCCAAGGTCACATCATTCACTCACTTGACCAAAATTCAACTATGCGCGCTTAGCCAGAAAAAGGATTTAAACGGTAGGGATGACTCTACCAGTCATTCCACTTAAGAAGGGTATGCCTGAGAGAGAGGTCAAGTATGAGGTATATGTGCAATTCTGCCATCCCCACATTAATCTCTATCCTTGGGTAAGCTTATCAACATGCTGTTTATCACTGTAGTGTTTAAAAACTCAGCCCCTACAACCCAAGCCAAATACCTCAGTTGGCACTCAACTGAAGAATCACCCTGTCGAGTTCAAACACTGGACAAAAAAGTGACTTGACTGCCCTACTGAGAATTGATGGGGCAGTCTCTAGTCTGATTATGTCTCCCCTAAGATATTCTCAAGAGTGATTTTAGTTAAATGTGATTTTTTTTGTCACTAACTTTAGAACCTAACCCCATATAAGATATGACTACACTGTACTCAACACCAAAGCCTGAAAAATAGTATAAACTCAAGGTCCCAGTTTAGTGTAGGAAGGTGGGCTGGGTCACTGCCCAGCTTCTCTGTGGCTCAGCCTTCATTGCAGACATCTACTGTAGCCCAAAGGTGTTCCTAGTGTTTGCTGCAACTTGGAAGTGGAACTGGAAGAAAGGACTCCCTCTTGGGTTTCCCTATAAGGTTGGTTTTAAGTGACACTGGTTGAAAAGGACCCCAAGCTGATTGCTGTCCTTCAGTCCCAACACCTTCAATGGGGTGTTAATGGAGTCCGGTATTTCCATTAAAACCATTCAGCTTTCCTCAGTCTAGGAAATGAGCGCTCACTACTTCCTTTGTTTGATTTCAAATAGTTCTTTCCTTAAAATTTTGGGTATACAGCAACTTTCACCTAGTTTTCAGTGTTTCTGCAGGTTTCCTTTATTTGATATGAGGAGGAAAAAGTTGTACAAAATTCTGGCATTCCCTTATTTTCTTAATAAGGAATACATTTATAGGTATATTTATATACAACATTAAACATGTTCAATTACACTAATAGTTTACTATTTAAATGTGTTGGACATAAACCACCTACAGCTGAAAATGTCATTTAGATTTAGAATGGATTTACAAAAACAAACCAATTCTTGAGCTTTCTTGCCAAATACATAGCACAATGTCAAGTCCCTGCTAGCTGCAACTTACTCGCTGGATTCAGAATTTCAGCTGCTTTTAACACCAAGATAATATTTGACCTAAGCTACATTTTTACATGTGGTAAAGATCACTAAAACTTCCACAATACTTTTCATGAAACCTACAGAAACATTGTTACTTCCTGCAGACATAGGCAGTTCTAGGACCTTACATAAACAAGTTCAAATGCTTGGACATTCACTAACAATCTGACACAGTGAGTTCCTATTAGATTCTGCCAATGACATCCCCACCAGATTAAAAGGCAAGGAAAAAATAATCCATTTTGTTCCTGGT